CGGGCCGGGGGGGGGGGAGCCACGGGGACCGGAGAATGTATCTGAGCGAAGAGTTCAAGCTCGTCACCGACGGGAGCAATTTCAGTGACTCGTCGGGCGTTCTGAAGGATGGGTTCGATCGGATGATGGAAGTCGTGAGGCTAAGCCACGCCGTCTCCGGCGACGGAAACATTTCCGGCGGTGGCGGATCTGCTCTGCTACAGGGACTTCACGTCATCGTCGCTTCGCCGAGCGAAGAGGTTAGTTTTACTGAAATGTTATCCGAAAAAAAAGGCCTTCCACTAAATGATTAGAAAATATGTGAAATTTTCAAGTGAATAACAAATTTTTGAAAAAGAAAGATAAATTATAAAATTCAATACTACATTTAAAAATCATCAAATCTACCAATTTATTATTCTAATAAAACATATCTTTCATTCTTAAATGTTATAAACAAACCTTATATGGCAAATTTATTTTCCTAAATAAAAAATTTCGATAGAGTTATAATTTGTTTAATAGATTATTTTTAATTTAATGTTAAAAATGTGGTACTTTTAGATTTTTTTTCTTTAACAGTGGGATTCGGTATTGAATTTTTAAATTATTAAAATCAAAAGTTTTTTAAAAAGTTATAAAAGATTCCTTCCTTTCTTTGTTTGTGAGCAGTAATCCTTAATTTATAAATTTAATGAGAAATTAATTTCTGTTTATTACTGATAGAAAATTCGTTGAATTTAGTTATATTTATTTGCTACAATAACTTTTTTGTTCTTCACCTATATGTATATATATACATATTATAATATTTAAATATGTTCAAACTTTTACGTTGGAATTCGTAATTTTATGACCTTTTGATAGGCGTTGTGGTGGTTGTGTATGGTCCACCAAAGTCACGGACGAGCTACATTATTAAAGTCGTATATAAACAAAAGTGGAAAAAAAAATATTATTCATTAGCTTCAAAATTGAAATTGTTTTAAAAACAACATTTTCATTTATATTTTTTCGCCGACAATTTCAATTATACTATTGGTATAATTATTTCATTTCCATCAATATATATATATATATATATATATATTCCAACAGAGCTATTTTGTTAAATATTATACCATTCACTATGGTAAATTTTATATGGTTTTACCGTTCATCTGAGTGCTAGTCTGGCGACATGCCTTCAGCCCAACTTTATCCGTGAATATTCGTTCACCCACCACGTGCGCGTGAATACTTTATGACAATTTTATTTTATTTTTTTTGGTAAAAAAAATGTCAATCCCTTGACAATTTTATTTTTCTCTCAAGGGATTGACATTTTTGTATGATTTTGGAAAAAGATTTTTAACACACCAAAAGTAACAGTTAGATAGATGTATGGGATTTAATTTCGTATTAGATTCGATTTTACTATATATGTAAACCTTATTTTTATTAAAAAAAAATCCCCTTTTTATTCATCTCAAAACCATTTAATTTGATTTAAAAAATATAGTCTAACAATAGATTTATTTTAAACAAATAGTATCGTATATATTCATTGGATTTGAAAAATAAATCCAATAGAGAAGTGTGTGTACCGATTTGATTTTACATTTAATAATCCGAATAACATGATGAAATCATACTTCAATATTTTATACCCAAACTTGGGTGGACCAATTCAAAAGTTAGTTTTATCCTAGGTTCAAATGTTATCCAAGCCTGTATATGAGTATTCACATAGATTTTTTTTTAGAGATGTAGTTGGGCCAAATATCCGGTGAACTTGTGAATTATAAAAAAAATTATTGAAATATTTTATAATAAACAAAAAATAATATAATCGATGAAATCATATTTCTTTTTTAGTTGCACTATGGCGTGGATGAGTCATACAAGTTAGTGGTGCCATCTCCAGAGATGCCATCCTATGCGCACCTCGAGGTATCTCTTCGTCCCTACCATCGATTTCCCTCCTAATTATTTCTTGTTTTTTTATTATAGAGTTTTTTTAATTTAATTTTGATTTAGAAACTTTATATACGGTAAAGTGAGATACGATATTTCAAAATAAATTAATCGATTTTAATTTAAATGTGAAAATACTTAAATAAAAAATGATATTTTAAATGGAAATTGGATTTAAATCGAATTGAATTCAACTAATTAAAAATTGAATGAATAGTTTTTTATATACAAACAAATAAAAAAATTATTCGGATCCTAAACGCAATCATACAAAACAAGATGTATATATAGTAGATGATGTTGTAATTAAGGCTAATGAAGACACTTGACCGTTAGGTTAAGACTACATAATTGTGATTCAAGAATGCAAGAAGTAAGATAATTGTATAAACATTATTTTGTAATTTAAAGATCCAACAAAAAATATTCTTGTAATTTCCAACTATAATTAATATCGATATTCCGGATTTATAGAATTAGAGTAAGGGGGAGTTATGTACCGAAAATTAAATATAAAATCCCACAAGGCAAGTTCCATTGTTTTGTCGATCATATTCAAAGCCGGTTTAAACCGGTTTGGTTCGGTTTAAATTTTTTTATTCTAATCTTATTTGAACCCGCTCTTCTGAATCCTGGTTTATGGTATTTTCTGACGCAGGCAAAGAGTGTTTATGGTGCATTACATGGCCTTCAGGTTTGTACCAATCCCCCTCGTTCTGTATCTTTCTTCTAAGTTTCGGAATGAATTTCCTCAGGGATCTTGATTCGTTTTATTTCCAAACAAAAATAAAACTGCAGACCTTCAGTCAGTTATGTCAGTTTAACTTCAAGCAAAGGGTTGTCGAAATCGCGATGACCCCTTGGAGCATCACAGATGGGCCGAGATTCTCGTACCGCGGCCTTTTGATAGGCAAGTTTTTTCCGCTAATCCCTCGATATATATATATATAGCCTTCCGTCTCACGTTCCTCGCGTTAAGATCTCACATGATTCCGTGTTTTGCAGATACTTCTAGGCACTACTTGCCATTGCAGACCATCAAGAAAGTTATAGATTCCATGGCATATGCCAAACTGGTAAGTGCTTGTTTGTACTGCAAAAGCTTTATTATGCTCTGTTTGGTATCGAGTTTTATCCGGTTCTTGACGCGGATTACGTCTTGGCAGAACGTTCTTCACTGGCATATCGTGGACACTCAGTCTTTTCCCTTGGAGATACCTTCGTTTCCGAAGCTTTGGGATGGTTCTTACACCGCATCTGAAAGATATACAATGGCCGATGCCTCTGAAATCGTTAGGCAAGATTTCTTTCTTGGCTTCTCCGTAACTCCCTTTCCGTAATTTCCTACTTACGTTCGTTACAAAACGCTTGTATAGTTATGCTCAAAGGCGAGGAATCCACGTTTTAGCCGAGATCGATGTCCCGGGACACGCTCTGTCATGGTATGAGCTACTGCTACTGATAGCATTTTTGTATGGAAGTTCACAAAGATTGCATCCAATACTTTCCGAATTCTCAGGGTTTTTTTCTTACCGAGAGATCTGATGCTTGTTCTTTCGTCGGGAATAGGGGAACCGGGTATCCTTCCTTGTGGCCGTCGAAGAACTGTCGAGAACCACTTGATGTCAGCAGCAAATTCACTTTCAAAGTCATAGATGGGATTCTTTCGGGTAATTTTCGACGTTTTTTTCACGTCGTCTACTCGGCTTTTAAACCCGATTGGCTTAACGTTCTTCTCGTTTTCGGTACTTCCAGATTTCAGCAAGGTTTTCAAGTTTAAATTCGTTCACTTGGGCGGGGACGAAGTTAACACAAGTAAGTAATAACTTGATTCCGTAAACACAGTGCAGTGACATAAAATCGACTCTGTTTTCTCGTCTCGGTTCCCAAATCTTGCGTTTTCCGATTAAAGAGCGTTTGTTCTTCAGATTTTTCAACTTCAGAACCTAATCTCTGACACTATTTACACCGCTGTAGTCGAAGTAGAACGTCGTGATCTCTTCGAGATATTTCGCTGACATCCAGATTACATGTTTTTGTCACAGCTTGCTGGTCTACGACACCTCGTATCGCCAAATGGTAACGACGATAATAACCTCTGTAATAACATCCTTTTCGATACTATGCAATACTCTCGATCGACTGCGTCTTCTGCTCATAGAACATTGCACGAATCGTATCGAATGTTCTTCTTTTACGTATTCGCCGCTTACTCTGCGTCGAGCGCAGCTTAGATAACGAATTCTTCGACTCTCCTATCCGCAGGTTAAGAAGACATCGAATGAGTGAACTGCAAGCTTACCAGTATTTCGTCCTTCGGGCACAACGTATCGCTTTATCTCATGGATACGAAGTTATCAACTGGTATTACTGATATTATTATAATCTTTCTCCCTCCCGGGAAGCATACTGTACCCGAATTTTCTCGTAAATTATTATCATTTCGTCACGTGAATCTCTCTGAATCCGTGATTCGACGTTACAGGGAAGAGACCTTCAACAATTTCGGCAAAAAGCTTAGCCGGAAAACTGTAGTTCACAACTGGTGTGCATTCACTATCGACGCTAATTATCACCCGAATACCTCTATATATAAAACCGTCCTAACGATCATTACGTTACGAACAAACAGGCTCGGGGCAGGAGTTGCAGAGGAAGTAACAAGATCTGGACTAAGGTGTATAGTGAGCAACCAGGACAAATGGTATCTAGACCACATAGACACTCCATGGGAAAGCTTTTACATGAATGAGCCTCTCGAAAACATCACGAACCACGAGCAGCAACGTCTAGTTCTCGGAGGCGAGGTTTGCGCTTGGGGCGAACACATCGACGCTTCAGATATCGAACAGACCATATGGCCTCGAGCTGCAGCAGCTGCAGGTATGTATTTGTGTATGTATATATGTATACAACGGTTTTCATCCTCAGAGAGTTTCTGATTTGAATGTATCGTTTCGATGGAAAAGAACGGCTATGGACAACATATGATAGATTGGCGAATGATCCCGAGAAGGTTAGGACAAGATTGGCTCACTTCAGATGCTTGCTAGATCAGAGAGGAGTTGCAGCTGCTCCTCTGGAAGGCGGCGGAAGAGCCGCCCCTTTCGAACCCGGTTCCTGTTTTGTGCAGTGATTTCTCTTCGGGAAAAAACCATTTTTTTAATAGATTGTTGTAATATGCCGTCTCGTTCTTGAAAACCAGTCGAGGCCATTGATTCGTTGCAGCGAAGTTGCACTACACTCGGTATGATCTGTAGTTCATCGGAAACATTCAAGAGGGGAACTCTTGTTTTGCGATATGAATCCGCTGCCATTTCTATCGTTCTCTTGACTCGGGAATAATGTTGTTATACACTCGAAAGAATCTTGAATTCGAAAGGGTAGAGAAACTGTAACATCTTCTGAAAACTTTTCTCAAGGTTTCCATGGCTGAGGCGGCGGAGGGGTCTTCGGATAGAGCGGAGGAACGGCGTTGAAGATCGTGTTCTTGTCGATACCATGGCTTTCGCTGTTCGTCAACGACACGAGTGCGGCGACAAGGCCCGAGTTTCCAGCAAGAGTAGGCTCACTCGCGTTGTAATTGTGACGCAGGTCGTGGAACTGATCAAAGCTGTTGGGACCTCCGACCATTGCTCCTACGATGTTGTTAGGGTTAGGATTTTTCGTGTCTCTCCATTGCCACCCTTCGCTGCAGCTACGTCTCTTCCGA